GTGTTGTACAGTATTTTTATTTTATTTTAATATTTTTTAATATTTACTTTTAATTCTAATATTATCACTACTATTGATGCTGTCACATAATATGTTGTTTTGTGCATTGATGTATCTGCTGCTGCTGTTACATCTGAATTTCCCCTCTGTGGGACAATAAAGACAATAAAGTCTGTTTCTATTCTGTTCTCAGCTCTGGTTTCCTCCAGAAACCTGGTATCTGAAGGGTTCTGCACAGGATCTTAGTTCTTTGTGGAACTGGTCTCTTCTGGACAGACCTCTGTGGTCCAGGGTRCAGGTGTAGATGTGAGACTGGTCTGCAGGTTGAGCTGAGACCTCTGGTCCAGCAGGAAACCAGAAGAGTTCCAGGAGGTGGTAGACAGGTTCTTCCCCTCAGCTCTCTCCTAGAATAAAKGTTAGTGAAATGTAGAAGACAACAAAAACATAAATCCTGACAGGTGAYCTCTGCTTTTACTGTCTGAACAAGAACTGATTGTGTTCCTGTCTCTGTGCCCTGCAGCAGCCAGGGTCTGATCGACACCTGTCTGGTCCCTGTCCTCAGCCTGGATGTGGGCAGCAGACCCCTCTGACCCCCGGCTCTGCTGGCCTGGAATAAATCATCAGYTCCAGGTTCTCTGGTCCAGTGGACCACAGCCTGCAGTTTGTGTCCAGGAGGAGCCAGACCTGTGTCTACCTAAACTTTAGTCCTGGAGGACCTCCTTCAGTTCTTGTTACCTGATATTTGAGGTTTTTACTGAAAGCTGGACCTCCTCTGGTTGTTTTATAGAGCTGACATTTCTCTAAAACACTTGAATTAACAGTAGMGCTCCTTGGTGCTCAATGAGGTCAGACACTTGGTGCTCCCACTGACCTGTTGTCATGTTGGTATTAAAAACTGGTCGACTTGGGTTCAGCCAGCTGTTACTTTTATAACCAGTCACTAATGCCACTCTGCCTGTCCTAAACTACCTGTCCTTTCATCAACATTCAGATCCTCCTGCAAACACTGAGTGTAGCTCTGGTTTGACAGTTCATCAGAGCTCTGAGCAGTCTGACCTGCAGCTGGACCCCTGAAGGTGGTTTCCACTGCACTCATCTTTTTTCTTTACAAACCAAGGTGGTTCTCTGAGGTCATTCTTTACCTCCTCCCTCTCTGCTGCATTTACCAAGGTAGAGAAGAACAGGTTATACATTATTATTATTATACACCAGATGTCATTGACCTGATCGACACTGATATTCAGACCACAGTGGAAACACAGCTGACATGAACATGGTCATAATTACCACGTAAAAACAGCAGGTAAAATAAGTATTGAACACGTCACCATTTTTCTCAGTAAATATATTACTAGAGGTGCTAATGACATGAAATTT